ACAGAAAAGGGGAAATGCTGTGGGATAATGCTTTTGTATAATGGTTTAATAAAACACTGATTGGCCAGTAGCCAGGTAGGAAGTATAGGCGGGATAAGCAGACAAGGAGAATTCTGGGAAGAGGAAGAGCAGAGTCAGGAGACACCAGCCTGACATCCAGGGAGCACCATATCTCATTATCCAGGAAAGTCTAAGTTTTGAAAACATTTTAAATGTCATATTCTGTAGGTCTTTGAAGTGTTTGAAGATTGCCAACCTAATTGAATTATATCTATGTATACCTAGAAAACTTAACATGACTAAAAGCTTAACTATCATAGAAAACTAATTATTAATCTGTATTTCTTAATTATCCATTACAATTTGAATGAGCCACACAAACATAATACCTTAAAAAAGAGTAGAAATAAATATACAGTATAACAAAATTAACTCTATTTTTATCAATAGACTAAAATCCATAACAATGTAAACTATTTTTTAAAAAGTTTTTTAGAAGTAGATTCAATAATTTATCCTTTTATCCTATCATATCTATATCCTATGTTTCCATATCAGTTGCCAATTAAAATCATGAATATTTATCTAGGATATGGTGTACATATTTTAATTTTCCAAATTCTTCAAAATGAGACACATCCATTTGCCAAATTTCATTTCTTTATATAGCTTTAGGGTTACTTCCTGCAGATAGTGGTGTTTGATTATAAAGGGAACAAGTAAGACATTTTCTTATAATTTTGTTGTAAAAAAGAGCCATTCCAAAGTTAAAATATGAGACAAGATCATTCATTTACATATAAAGCGGAAAAATAATAGATAAAGCAAGAAAAACAATGTGATAAAATTTATTGGTAATTTATTAGGCACTAAGCTCTTCACTAAATTATATCATATGATCAAATCAACTATCACATTGACTGTATTGTTCATAATTATTCTTACTTTGAGATAAGAAAATATGTTCCACAAAGTTTAGTGACCTGTAAATCATATAGCTTGTCAGTACTTGATCTGGAATATGAAACGATCATATTTGAAGTGTTGAAATAATCATGTTGAAGTTTTGTAAATTCAAGTAAAAGCAACTCTGCCAATGTTTCTCAATAAAAGGAAAAAATTCTGTTTCAAACTCTTGCTATTGACATGGCTTGTTTTTAAACTAAATTCTGAGGCTTCCAACTCGTTTTCTATCATAAGTTGATCAATTTGATCATTGCCTTGTTCTAGAGGGCCTGACAGACACATATGGCTTCTGATATGTGTTATATATATGGGATGATTTCTATTTCTGTTTCCTGTAATCTTATAAATAATGAAGTTAATTCTTTTTCATCAGGAATAAGTTCAGTGGTTTCAATGCATAAAACAACTCTTTCTGCATATTGAGAGTCAGCAACTACATTAAGAGGTTCTGTAAAATCCATTAATACCATGAGAATATCATATAATTCTGACTTTTGGGCAGAATCATAAAAGCTTTGAGAAACTTTACTTAAATTTCCTAATTTATAACCTGCCTTTCCTAATTTTTTTGCATCAGTATAGAATATAGTGGATCCAGATATTGGTGTTCCCCATACAATGTGAGGAAGGACCCAATTGGTTCTTTTTATGAATTGAAGGCTCTTGCTTTTGGGATATCTGTTCTTAATCTCTCCCCAAAAAAATTATTGCTGCCTCTTTGCCAATGTTCATTCTCTGCCCATAAAGAGGAAATTTCAGCATTAGTAAAAGGTGCCTCAGGGACCTAGGTATTCTGGTCCCCTGCAAGTCACCATGGAACACACCTCGGATGCCTGTCCAAATCTAATGACTACCAACCAGTGCAAGACCTCATAGAGGTTAACAACCAGGTGAAAGACATTTACTCCACAGTACCTAATCCTTATACACTTTTTAGTGCCTTGCCCCTGGATAGGACTGTCTATACTGTATTAGATCTTAAGGATGCTTTTTTCAGCCTGCCATTGCTAGTCCAGCTAGTCAGCCTTTGTTAATCTTCTAATGGCAGACCAAAAGGATGGATTCAATGGACAACTGACTTGGACACACATGCCTCAAAGATTCAAAAACTCTCTCACCATCTTTGATGAAGCCCTCTCTGGTGATATATTGTGTACCCTAATAAAATATTCCTGAAGATCAGAGAACAGAACAAGCCACTAGATTAAACATAGAGGCCAGACAATGGTAGCACACATCTTTAATCCTAGCACTTGGGAGACAGAGATCTATCTGGACCTCTGTGAATTTAAAGCCACCCTGGACTACATAAGATTGACTCAGTCTAGGAGAGAAATAGAGCCAGCAAGTAGTGGCACACACTTTAATCCTAGTACTGGGAAGCATGCATGCCTTTAATCCCAGGAAGTGACAGCTGGGTGGAGAAAGGTATATAAGGTGTGAAGAGACAGGAACTAAAGGCTTTTCAGGAGAAGTGTTCCTTTAAGCCAGAATCCTTTTTGGCTGAGGAAGCTCATTTGGTTAGAGGCCTATTGGCTGAGGCTCTTTCATGCTGAGGAGTTGGTGAGGTAAGAGGTGGTGGCATTGGCTTGCTCTGCTTCTCTGATCTTTCAGCATTTACCCCCAAATCAGTTTTGTTAATAAGACTTTCTAAAATTTGAGCAATAGCCCTCCATGAGGACTTGGGTGAGTACCATAAAACCAACCTTAATATCAGCCTATTGGCAGTATGTGGGTGATCTCCTAATACCAGCTGACACCTTGAACACCTGCAAAACTTCCACTGAGGAACTGCTCTAAACTGTAGGAGACCTGGGATACTGTGTATCTTTCAGACTGAAGTAACCTACCTGAGATACATACTCAAAGGGAGCAAGAGATGGTTACCAACAGCGAGAAACAAAACCATCCTGAGGATCCCTAGATCCAGGAACTGATGAGAAATAAGAAAACTCCTGGAGTCTGCTGAGTTCTGTAGACTCCCAATACCTGGGTTTGCATGGCCCCATATGAGACCACAAGGGGAAGGACAGCTCCCCTTGACTGGACCCTAAAGTTAGAAAAAGGTTTTGATGAGATTAAGGCAACCCTACTAAATGCACCTGCTCTAGCTCTATCAGATGTCACCAAACCTTTCCACCTATATATGGATGAGAAAACAGGAGTTGGTTTCAAAATGGGTCTTAATGTAAACCCTTGGACCATGGAAGAGGCTGGTAGCCTACTTATCAAAATGAGTAGATCCAGTGACCACTTTGCATAATAGTGGCAACAGCCCTATTAGTTAAAGACTCAGATAAACTGACTTTGGGACAAACTCTAAGGGTGACAACCCCATGCTACCCAAACACCCTCCTGTTAGATGGCTAACCAATGCCCAGCTGACCCATTACCAAACTCTGTTTAGTCAAAAAATAGGATGAAAATAGTCACAAGACTGGGTCACAGAACAGCAGGGTGGTAGTCCACAGTACTGAAACACTAACATCAGACTAAGAAGCACCAGTGAGAATCATCATAAATAAAACCACAAACTAAAATAACATTCACCCTGCAAGTGTTGTGGACAGCATCTGTAGGTTTATTGCTGTTTCTTTGGTTCTGTTTTGTATCTTGCATAGGTCACAGAAGTTTCTCTTATTTTTTTAGGCAAAAGTACCCTCTAATGAAGTGAATGTATTTTACCACTGCTGAAAAGTGACATAAGAACAGAACATACCCATGTGTGTTCTGACTTCCAGGGTGACAACCAGAATGACTGCTGGATCTTTTCCCTGGCTGTACTTCTGAGCAGTACCTTTGTGTACAACAGCATGGGAGTCATCAGCCAGCAGGCCATGGACCAGCTGCAGTATCTTTTCTGAGGTTCAGAACACCAGAGTAAGTGGGGTGACCTTCCCTCATGATCCAGCTCCATGACTCTGGCTCTTGGTTAATGAGACATAAAACAAAACAAAACAAAACAAAACAAAACAAGAAAATAACCCACATCTATGTAGCTACAGTATTCACCCTGAGGTTTGGAACAAGGCAAATGAAGGTTTGGGCTAGGTTCCAGGAAGATGTGGGATTAATGTAGGATGGTAACCCTGAACTTTGGTTGGTGCTATGGTTGTTTCATTGCTTTCCTTAATTAGCTGTTCAGCTATGTGACAGAGCTGACAGACAGAATCAGAACAAGATTCTCGCCTGACCATGATGAATTGGAGGACTCAGATGAATTTGTGAGCCTCTTTCCAGACTTTGTGTGGACTCTGAGTAACTTCTTTCTTGAGCTAAAAATAAATGGGGAACTCATCTCTACAGATGAATATCTAGAGAATTCCTGAAACTTATACACAGTAAGAGACCTACAGCTGCTAAAGAGGATGTCAATTAAACCCCTGATAATTCAGATTATTCTACCTATAATTTTCTTATACCTGGTGTTTCTATTTCTTCTAGCTAGTTACTCCTAAGAATCTGTGCTTAAAATATGGTTTAATAGATTAAATTAAACATTTTCTCGTTTGTTCTAGGAACAAATTTATTTGTCTTTCGCCTTTCCCTTTACAAAATGGTTAATTGGACTCCCTGCTTCAGACTTGTTTTTATGCTAAAACACAAAATATGGTACACAATGATTGTATGTTTGAAAAAGGTAGATTAAAGTGTTACCAGTATCCTAGCCCAAACTTTGGAAGAGTGTGGCCCACACACAACTGATGGGCTGCCAGGCATCTTTGGAAAGCAAATGATGTTGAACTTGTGGGTTTACATATTGTCTATGAACATAGTTCAGCTACAGTGTGTGAGCTGAATAGTTAGAATGAAGCCCCCTTCCCTACAAAACCAGAAGAGCTTTATGAATCATTTTAGATGACTGAAAGTGCTTAAAGCAGACAAGCCTCCCCTTTTGTCCTTTTTGTTTTGTGCTTTCATGGTTTCACTATGTGAAATCTAGACTGGCCTCACCTACTAATTCTCCTGCCTCAGCTTCCAGTGTTCCAGGATTTCCAAAGCTCACCTGACTAAATTTAAAAACATATACTCACCTTCTAGGTACTGGCTGGAAAATTCTGTTTTTCACCTCATGTAGGTACCAACCAAAAAGAAAAAGAAAAAGTTAAATCTGCCACAGCTTTGTATCTGTAAATTCTTTCCAAAGAAATGCTTTGTCTTTGAGTGGCCAGCACATGGGAAGAAGCTTGGCCAGTTGGGATCTCTGCAAAATCATGACATTGATCCCAGTTTTGTGGAACAAGTAGCAGAGTTCTGTTCCTACGTGTTCAGCTGTTCCAAGGTTAAAACGCTTTCAGGAGGCATCAAGGTCAATGGACCACCTGAGTCCCTTCCAGTCCTTCTGCTCACTGTTTAGGCCACAGCATCATGAGATAGCAATGACCTGCTTCAGCTCTGAAGAAATGTAGACCTGTCATCACTGTAGGGCTAAGCTGTGGATGTCACCAGCATTTATAATAGACTTTGTCTATGACATTTTCTTGTTGGGAAAGAGGAAAGGGGCAAAAGGTAAAACTCCTTTTTAAATTACCAAGCAAACTGGTTCTGTGTTCACCAATATGATAGCAACTAAATAAATGTGGCTTCTAAACTGAAATGAAAGTACAATAAAATCTACATGGAGGCAGTCATTGTCACATCAGCACATACAGAAAATTCTCTTGAGCAATGCTGTTTTTTTCTAATCAAGCTGATGGAGATATTTGACTGAGAGAGCACATTTTGCTCTTGAATTGGAATGAAATGCTTACTATGGACAGGACTGGTGACACAGATAAGCATGAGAGAGGTGTGGGGCCTTTTCTCATGGTGCTTGCACTGAAAACGGTACTTGTCTATTCCATAGACACAGGCCCATGTAGTCTCCATGCAGCATTCTTAGCCTTTGGGGTCTCACACACTTCATGAGAGGAACTTCGCACAGAGGAAGGTCGAATCCATCAATGTGAGTTAGACCCTGCGATACTTCTGTCTGTCATTCTTCCAAATGATGCTAAGGACACTGATATTTTAAGGCATTAATGACTGACATATCCAGAATTTCACAGAATAGTATTGGCATCATATGTGCAGCTTTCTTTAATATTGAACTCCTAGACTGCATATAGATATATAAAATTACATTTGTATATATGACATAAAAGTAAAAATGTAACTGTTTAGGGAAACAAAGAGGACTAATGGAAGGGGGCAGGCATGCTGAGAATGATGGGAGCATGGGAGCATGCTAAACATGCAAGATATGCTTATATGAACATATCCTATCATGACACAACATGTATAATAAGTATATGCAATGAAAATTATAAAAACAATTTGTGATCAGCAAAGAACATTTAAAAATAAGAATTCTGACAACCCAATTTGAATAACATTGGCAATTCAGATAAATCAACTAATTTTTCAGAGAAAGTACACAACACTAAAACTCACCATATTTGTTACTTCCCTAATTGCTGCAAAAAAAAAAAAATACCCAGCAAAGGCAACTTTTTAGAAACCTTTTAGAATTGAAATGAAGAAATGTACCAAATAATAGTGTGAGATTTTAAATGAGGTAAAAATGAGTGGAACAACAAATGAGAGGAATTAGGTAAAAATAATATTTATAATCAATATATAATTGCCCACTCTGTTAAAGACAAGTACAGTTCTTCTGAAACTTCACAAAATGATGCTGATCATGACTCAGAGAATTCTTAGTGACAGGGGTCAAAGCAGAGCTCTGAAAAGACACCCTGAGATCTCTAAGACTTGCGTAGGAGCTTGTGTGGTGGCATACCCTTCAAGTCACAGTACTTGAGGTGCTATGGCCCAGGTCTCATCAGTTTGAGGCTAATCATTGTGATACTCCCTATCTTTTAAAAAAATATATGTAACTGATACCAGAGTTCATTAAAATAATAGAAAGCATATCAGGAAACAATTATGAGTAAGAAAACTGCAAGCCCATGCTTTAATAATCTGAATCCATTTCACGTATTAACCGTTTAAATAAATTCCTCATTGTTATGTTCCCTAATGCTCTTGTTGGCAATCTTGGGGTGCTGTCATGTAATGTCTAGGGTTCTTGCTTTCCTCCATTCTTCCATTCTCTGAGGAGTCCATTTTACTCACGGCAGTGAACCCTCTTAGGGCAGTGACTAGGTCAAATGAGTCTTCACACTCTCCTGTACATCTCGAAGAGTTTTGTATACAAAGTATTTGTGCTCAGTAAACACCTACATTCACAGTGCCAATTGTTTTCCTAACTTGAAGGTCCTGCCTCTGTTCTACGTGAACTATGTGATCCCTGTTGCTATATGCAGTGAAGCTTGCTATAGAGTTTGTTTTGTAAATGGCAGCTAGCATAAAAGCATTCCAACCCAATATTCATAATCTTGGGACTTGAAAAAACTTCCCAACAGCCTCATGTACAAACAACTGCACAAACCAAATTCCAACCTTGTCAAAAAGGAAAGCACCTGGGGTCTTGACATCCAGGCTGTTTCTGAGAAGCCTAGTCTGTCTGCTTTCACTTCTGCAGGAAATAAAAAGAAGTCCGGTTTGGCCTGAATATAGCAGGAAATCGTTCCTTACAAAAGAATTGGAGGAAGCCTGGGGCTTTCCTTATCCATTGTTTGGAGACTATGTAGACTTCAAATTCAGAGGGGGTGAAGGGGCAGGAATACATGGGAAGAAAGTTTCTGATCATGTTGGTAAAACACAGCCATATAGAAACCCAATTTGAACCTATACAATGACCACTTTACTGTTTGCTAAAATCCCAGATGGAGCAGCTGTGTGGACACCATGTTCTGATAAACTATTAAGAACACATTAGGGGCTGGAAGAATGGCTTGGCAGCTAAGGGTGGGGCTTTCTGCTCTTAGAAAGACCAAAGTTTGTATCTCAGCATCCATGCAGAGCAGCTCACAAGTGTTTGTAACTCCAGCTCCAGGGATCCCATGACCACTTCTGACTTCTGCAGGGACCTGCACACAGGAGATAGACAAACACATACACATGAGCAAAGAAAATAAATCTTTCAAAAACACATCTAATACCTCCAAGCTATATTTATTGTTCTCCAAAGTGCAGACAATAGCACATATAGAAGAACAACCCACTAACAAATATAAAGATGGAGTATGCCTGTCATATAACAGACAATAATCACATATAGACTTTGCTGGGCTTTCAAGTTACTACCTTTAAAGGGTGATTCCTAAGGACACCACTCAGGATTACAATCAAAAAAGTGAACCTCCAGCCTACAAGGCTATAGGAAGGTGAGAAATCTTCATTGTAAACTGAGGCTATGTCTGAGGAAAGAAGTGAGGTCCTGACCAAGGTCATATACACTCATGCTTTGACCTCAGCCACATGAAACATCTGCAAACTCAACTCCATCAGCCTTTATAGCACAGGATACCTGGTCTGGAATTCCATTTTCTCAGCTGGTGAGAGGTGTTCATCTAGGGTGAGGAGCTCCTTGCCCTTTCCATGTCTGCACAATCTCTGTCTCTTTCTGTCCAGCTGTTCAAGTTGGCGGCAAACTCATACACCTCTATTTTTTGGTGCCACCGTCTCTGTTGTGACCCATTTCAGTTCTGACAGCTGCTCCCTGGACCTAGGGCAATTTTCAAGATTCTGTTGATCTGCATTCCTGTGCTTTGGTTTTAACTGTCACACACAATGCCTGAAAGAAGGTCCCTGTTTTGTGTGTGGTTTTGTGATCTGATACCACACTGGGAGGGAATTGAAAGGATTCAAAAAGTCAAAGACAAAAAGAGACACCTTTTGACAAATGCATGCAAGTGACAGGGTTAGAAGGAGGGGCTTGTGGGCTGAGTTTAGCTGGAGTCTACTCTTAAGTCTGTTCCAAAATATTGAGTATTAGGTGTTTTATACTGAATAATGGGTGGATAATCCCCATTCATTTCCTGCTGGGCAGAGTTCTTTGTCTGCCTGTCCTCATCTTTTCTTTGACAAGAGCAGGGCGGAAGTGTCTATTTTCTCCTCTGAAAATATTATTCAACCCTTGCCTCCTGTGCAAAAGTTAGTAAAGAAATGAGAGGCAAAGAGAAGAGAAGGCTAGAGGGAGGAAGACTGGGCAACCAACCTCTGGTTCTATCACCTATCACAGCTGAGAAAGGGGAAGCTGAGGCAGGATTAATATTTCATTGGTTCACTTCCTGCTTCCACATTTATTGAATTGATCAGGGCCTCAGTTCTGCCTGCTTTCTTCTGGGTGGGAGTGATGGATTGGAGTTTTTGTATGGTCCCTCTTTTTGTAACAAAATGTCCATGGGAAACAGTTATAAAGCTTTATTGGGATGCTACAGAGAAAAATCAAAGGAGGTTGAGCAATGTATTAAACATCCAGCTTTTTTTATGATATATAGTGCCATATATGTAATGGCATATCAAGACTCTGATAGTTATCATTTAATACTTTCAATTACAGAGTGACAATGCCTGGAATGAAAAGTCCTAAGTATATTTGCTCATTTTTGTTCAAACTGATGATGGACATAATACAATTAGGGACATGTATAAGCTTGAAGGAATGTATCATTTGTGAACTGAAGATAGTAAAAAGAAGCCAAACTGAACCCTCCTACAAATGCTGGTGACTGACCTGAACTTCAGTGATTGCAGACAAGTTGGGATACTAAGAGCCAGAGCATAGTTAAATTACCTTCGCAGCTTTAAGTAGCCATTCATTGTACCTCTCTATGTGTGACCTAACATCCTTCTGAAATACAAACAGACTCTCTGACTTCCACCAACCCCAAATCTAAGAATGTCCTCTGATAGCATGTGAGGTCTACAGCAGAGATTCCCCACCTTGCTGTAACCTGCTCACCTAAGGTTTCAATGAATGTATTTGAGAAGTGTCTTGATTTATGACTTTTATTCTGTCATTGTAGAAACTTCATGAAATTGTTACCACACTGGAATATGAAATGTGGGGTAACCTAAATCTGTACTCCCTAGTCATGGCCATCACTCATGCCAGGGTGGACTTTTTGGTGTTGCATCTGCCTTTAAGTCACCCACTCATGGGTTCACTATCTTGGACTTGGATAGGACCACTTTTCAATATGTCATGGACCCTCTGTCTTAGTTAGGGTTTCTATTGCTATGAAAAAATACCATGAACGCAGCAACTCTTATAAAGGAAAACATTCAATTGGGGCTGTCTTTCACTTTCAGAGATTTAGTCCATTATCATCATGGTGCATTGTGGCATGCAGACATGGTGCTGGAGAAGTAACCAAGTGTCCTATATCTTGGCTTGCAGGCAACAGGAAGTGGTCTAGGACGCTGAGTGTGGCTTGAGCATATGTAAGACCTCAAAGCCCACCTCCACAGTGACACACACTTCTTCAGATAAGACCACACCTACTCCAATAAGGCTACAACTCCTAATAGTGCCACTCCCTTTGGGGGCCATTTTCTCTCAAACCACCACGTACTTTTTTATGGTGAGTATATGGTTGTTCATATCTTCCTAGAAAAAGTCACAGAACACAACCGTCACCTGTACAGATACCAAAAGAACCAAAGACGGGTTGGGAAGGTCTGGTGACATGGTCCCTGCAATGGGTGCTGAGACAGGCAACTGAGGCTGATCCATGTCACTTTGCAAGCCCAATCCTTACAAGGTGTTGCTGGGTCCTAACAGCTCCCTTAAGGGAGGGGGTGAGAAAGCGCTGCATCAATGACACAGACACTGGGAGTCAGGTGAAAGGCAAACAGCAGACTCGATTATTCCATAACTGGGGAAGCCTTATATACTCTCCTCCCAGCACCCAGGCTGCATCCTGATCCAGTGACATTGTTTAGTCATCCCTTATTGGTGACATTGCATGGTCTCCTCTCATAGGCTAGGCATGATCAGGACATCTGACAGCACCTGTTGCTAGGCCCTCAGGCACACTCCAGGTTGGCTCATAAGGAAGAAGGTTATGTGCATGCCTTTGCAACTGGTTTGAGCCTTATCTTCCTGCAATAAGGTTCCTTTTATCCATGCAGCATGGATGTTGTGCCTCCTGCTGTAGTGGTAGTCACATGCTCCATGAGAGGATGAGACATGCAACCTGAATAAGTCATCCTGAGAATCAGAGTGACCTTGAGGGAAATACCAGTACAGCCATCTTCCTCTATGTGTTGTGGAGTGGCATGCATCTTTGATGGATTGGGTCCATCCCCTAAGTGTAGAATGCCCCTGAAAGTAGATAAACTGAATATATTACAACTGACCACACAAGACAAGGGTTTGTAAACAACTTTTGGCAGTAGTATCTGTGTCGTTTCTGTTGTAAACTGTTAAGATATGCAACCAAGCTTTAGCTGTCTTCACAAAATGAACTTGACAAAGTAATGGAGGTCTTAGAGTGGGAGCAGGGGTCCCTGCTAACTGCTTCATTTGCCCCTGGTTTGGCAGGAAAAGTAGAAGAGAAGGGATGAGTTGGGGCTTTGGCACTTCTCACAGCTGACTGGATGTCAACATAAGGAATATAAACATGTTAGATCTGCGATGAGCTCTTCTTGAGATCCAAAACTGTGGGGCCCATGGCAAGAACTGAAGAGTGAGGATGAAGAGAGTGAAACAGGCTCATCATAGACGATAGCTCTCAAATCCGACCTTTAACAGAGAGAAAGGGAAAATTTGGTATGTGTACTGGGTATGTTTATAATGGCTCAGTGTGGAACTATGATAATTAAGAAACAGTCTGCATCTGAACTTTGTGAAATGGAGAAGACTCATTACCAAAAAGAAAATGATCCTCACTGACTTGTGGGACAGGGCAGTGGGTGGGGCAGGGTGGTCAATGGGACAGGATGGTGGGTGGGACCAGTTTGAGTGTGGGTGAAGGAGAGAAATATAACCACCCATGCATTTTTTTTTTCAAGATAGGGTTTCTCTGTGTAGTTTTGGTGCCTGTCCTGAATCTCACTCTGTAGACCACGCTGGCCTTGGACTAACAGAGATCCACCTGCCTCTGCCTCCTGAGTGCTGGGATTAAAGGTGTGGGCCACCACACATTTTTAAGATAAGCCTGCATAGCCTGAGGCAGTACCAGGGAAATCATTCCCTGAGAGACCAGCTCACATGAGGCACTGGGGATGCTAGGATCACACTACATGTGAACTCCATGAATAGCAGAAACTGGAAGACGATAGAGGAAGGGCAGACATTAATGAGGACCCTGGGTAAGGAGGAGACACTGTGTGGTGTTCAGTTCACAGGGCCAGAGAGGACTGTGTTCACAGAAAAGTTCAGGGCCCTCAGCACTGTTAAGGGGCTTTAGTGTGTTCACTCTACTTTGAGAAGCAATTAGGAAAGGAAGGAAGAGCATAGAGACAAATTCTTGAACGCTTGTATGACGGCTCCCTCAGAGGAAGGGGTGAGAAGGCACAGCATCGATGGCACAGACACCAGGAGTCAGTTGAAGGCAAATAATGAACTCCTTTATTCAATAATGGGGAAGGCCTTATATCCCCTCCTCTGAGCACCTAGTCTGCGTGGTCATCCCTCATTGGCTGGGCGCAATCAGGAACTCTGACAGTGCCTGTTGCTAGGCCTTCAGGCAGACTCTAGGTTGGCTCATAAAGAAGTACATTATGCGCATGCCTTGGAAACTGGTCTGAGCTAATTTCCTCAACCCTATGGGTCTGTCGTACTGCACACTTTCACGCCACCATTGGGACTAGCTTCAGGGACAGAGGCAGGACTACACATACCCTCTCTAAGTTTGGTATTGTTATGAAAAAATTAAAAATATATGAGGCTGGATATTTTATACAGAAAGGAGATTCATTTGGCTGCCAGCACTGGAAGCTAAAAATCCAAGAGTGGTAGTTCACTGTCTGTTACATTACATCATGGCACGTGCCATCTTGCCAAGAAGACCCAAAGTGACAGAGATGTCGCATGGTGAGAGAGGGAGACTTCCCACAAGAGCCCCCAAACCACAGCCCCAAGGAAAGTTTTCATCTGTCTTTCAAACTTTGCCACCCCCCACCCCATAGCCACACCTCTTGAAGCTCCCCACTTTCCAATATCACCACACTGAGGCCAGCTTGAAAGTCCCACTTCCACCACATCCAAGACAGCACCCTATCTGTTCATGGTTGTAGTCAGAAAGGGCTGACCTCAGCGAGGAACGTAAGAAGCTATTAGAAATTAATCTGTCAGTGAGGTTTTCATAGCTATTCACTCACTCAGTAAATAGACAGGCAGCATGGAGAGGGGTTCACGACACAGCTTAGGAGTCAAGAGTGCTTCCATGAAGATTCCTTAGATATTATAATGTGATGCCTGAGAGTCTTCCTCTGCCTTTATTTCTATGAACTCACGGGGCAATGTGTGTTATAACATTAAGATATGTGATCCATAAACAGACATCAGCACTGAGCCTGGGACATCTGTATGAAAAAGGACCCTACCACCTGGCTGTACTGAGCCTAAGAACCAGCTGCTGGGTGTCAGGAGGTTGGAAGTCACACTGTCCCCTCACTTACTGCACCTCTAAAAGAATATGCAATCCCATTGTTAGTTTGTAATGTCCAGAAATTACGCTACAAGGATTATATATATCCTTCCTCTTCATCTATGCTTTTCCAAACAGCACATAAACTGAAATCATTCCATATCACAAAGAAATGGGTTTGGATTTTTTGTTTGTTTGTACACACACACACACACACACACACACACACACACACACACACACACCCTTTTTTTTTAAGTTGTGTTTGGTTCTATCCAGAATCTCTGGCTACACAGCTTCTGCTCTGGTTCCTGGCCACCCAGACAGTGTCAGGCTTGGGCTCCCTCTTGTGGTATGATTTTAAATAGCAAAGGGGTTCAAGCTCTCTTGGAACGAAATACTGAAAGTTCTGGTGGGGAAGTCAGGTCAAATTCTTCCCCCAACACAAATCACTGGGATTTTCCACCATTGTTGCTTCACTTCCGTGGCCAAATGGTTTCAGTTTCTCAGGACTTCACCCTACTACAAAAGTTACAGGGCTTTTCAACATTTGCTCACTTGGGGAAATTCAGAAAGCCTCTCCAGATTGCAGGAGGATATACGACAAGAAGCAGAGCCCTTCCACCAACTGAGCAGCAAAGGCAGGTAAGAAGGGACACTTGCTCTTTCGAGGTCTGAGGAGTTCTGATCCGGAACATGTGGCCATGACCTGGGCAGGAATGAGATGGCATTTTTGAGGGTTAATTCATTTTGTAAGAACTACTGTGACTAGAAAAGGCTGCTCCTGGGCATGGCAAATGAACCCTAGGTCATATTATCAGGGCAGCCAGGCTCTAAGGGACACCACTGTACTCATTGAGTTAGGGACCAGGAGCCATGTCGCTGAAACAGGGCAGGATAGGCATTGGGATTGTCTTTCTCGGTGTTCACCTTGTCTCTGCTAACAGGGACACAGTTAAATGGCTATGATCAGTGATGGAGCAGATCTGGCACAGAAAGGGCTGCCTGTGGCTGATTTTCATGAGGGAAACAGAATAAGATGCAGGGTGAACAGCCACTGCTATGGTGAAGGACAAATAGAGGAAACATGGTGTTGATGCAGGAACACAAAAGGAATAAGAGATATGATCTGTTCTAGAGCTGAATATGAGTGATCGATGTCCCAGAAACACAAGTTCTGCCTACCACACATATCATGTCCCAACTTGGCAAGTTTCTTGAAGTTTTGTAGCAACAGAATAAAGAAAGTCATAAATCAATGTACTTTTAAAATGCATTGGTGGCAACGTGGGGAAGGCAGAATGTGCCAAAAGGAGGAGTTTGCTACAAGCCTTCTGATGCAAGAAACGGCCATGGAGTCAGCTAAAGATTGCCTAGGAAAATTTGGCTCCAGACTTTACAACGTCCCAACTCTCCACAATCACACAAATTCTAATCAGTCAGCCTTGTGGGTTCTTTTATAGAATTGTGGCTGTTTTCTGGGAACCTCAGTTCACAGCTGAATCTCCTAGTGAAAGATGAAAGATGGGCGTGTCCATCACACATCTAATCTTGGCTGCCAAGTGAATTTCCTCCTTCAGTCGGAAGATGGGTTCATTCTTCATATCCACTTACTTCTTAACCCTCTCCTGCAGGATCAGCACCTATTCTGTAGTGAACGGCTTTCTTAGAAGAACTCTGGGCACAAAAGGCTGAGGACAAAGTCTGCTTACACTGTCCCCAACTCCAGGCCCTCAGGCAATTGTTCCTGTCTTCTGGAGACCAGAATGCCAGTTCAGGTCCCATTCTCACTCATCACATTCCTGTTTACTAGTCTTGTTCTGTATGGTCAGCTCTTAGCCTCTGACTCCAGTGTTTTTCTTCCTCCTCTTGCATTTCTCCTTTCTCTACCAAATGAAAACTAAACAGAAAACCTAAAGGAGAATGGCAGGAAGTGATTTCTTTGAACCACTTTTTTTCCTGTGGTCTTGACCAGCTCTCCAGTTTCTTGATATTTACATCACAGTTGCTTTCTGCAATATCCAGTGTTTGTATAGTTGGGTTTATTTTGCAAATTCTCATTTGCTGTAAGACTAAACCCAGTTTTTATTCATTGCTCATTCATAGCTAATGAAGTTTAAATTTCAAGGCACTACTCTTGTACAACTATTTCTTTGGAAGAGTCACTGTCACATATTTCCATAAATCTTGCAAAAGACACATTACATTGGTTCTCTTTCATGAATGGCAATGTGATTAATTCTGTGGATAGAGACTCATGGCCACAACATGAGAATAACTACAAGGATAGATAGAGTGAATACATTTTATAATCTCTAGAAATTTGGGCTACAACATGGGTATAACTACTCGGAAACAGAATGAATATACTTTATAATATCTAGAATTTGTGTAAGGACATGCATCAAACAATGAAGACTCCATGGTCTTTATTCATTATAAATTCATTATTCATCATATGGTAAACTAATGAGTAAATGGATGTTTGATTGATTATATAAGCTGCAATATAAAATAATTTCTCTAAATCTGATTTCATTGTCCATTTGATGTATAGTACAAAATCTTTAAGAAGGAAAATTTTCAGTGCAAAATTAAACAGAATATTTGTGTTGTGAGCAGTAGAATGCTGTCAATGTCACATTATAAATGAAATTCCTCAATAATATCTTATAAGATTCTAAAACCATACAGGTTCTTCTTCACCTATGTCTCTGATGCATGTTGTGTTTTTTGAGAGTTTCATAACTCTACTTCTGAGTGAACAAATAAGATTCTAGTTAATCTCATCTCTCCCTCTATAGACAGGGGACAAGCCTGCACAATGGCCTCAGAGGTCCACATGCCAGGCCCTGTGTGCCTCATTGAGAACGTGGAAGGGCAACTGACAGTCAACCAGGAGGCTCTGGGGTTCCTGTCTGCCATCAAGCAGCCTGTGGTGGTGGTGGCCATCGTGGGCCTCTACCGCACTGGCAAATCCTACCTGATGAACAAGCTGGCTGGGAAGAAAACAGGTGAGTGCCATCAACAAAGCTGAGCTGGGTCCCCTGTGTCCACTCACATTGTCTGCTTCCTGCATGAGAGTGTGAAGAATTTAATCTTCCAGTCACAGTTGGATGTTGGGATCCTTTTTGCTGTTGCTTTGTCTGTTTGCTTTCGTTTTTGAGACCAGTCATGCTACATAGCACAAGAGGCCTTTAGCTCTGCATGTAGTGGTGGCTGACCCTGAACTCATGATCTTCTTGCCTTGGACTCCTGAGAGCTGATTACAGTCCTGTACCACCACATCTGACCCCTAGTTTACCTTCCAAAAACACAAATGGTTCATTTCCTAGATGGAGACAGTAGTAAAGATAATTTAATTGATGTGTTAATAAACTTTAAAGTATTGCTAAAATGGTCATGTAATAAAGTTTCTACTGATATTTAAGGTTAAAGCAGCTATCTATAGTATATGTATTGACTTTTTATTATTATAAATTATATCAGATTTATAAATTTTATTTTAAATTTAATTTATAATTATTATAATTTTATAATTATAATTCATAATTTTTTAAGTATCTGGTTCTGTGGCATTAAACAAATTCATGCATCTATCTCCACCATCCATCTTTTTTTTTTTTTTTTTTTTTTTTTTAAGATTTATCATATATACAGCATATATGACTGCAGGCCAGAAGAGGGCACCAGATCTCATTACAGATGGTTGTGAGCCACCATGTGGTTGCTGGGAATTGAACTCAAGACCTCTGGAAGAGCAGTCAGTGCTCTTAACCTCTGAGCCATCTCTCCAGCCCCCTCCACCATCCATCTTAAGAACTAGTTCATTGCCCATCCTATACCACAATTCTATACGCTGTTTCTATGAATTTGGCTGTCCTAGGAATACCACATGAATAAGTAGACTCATACAATTACAGAATTTTTGCGACTGGTTCCTTCATTTAACATGACACCTTCAAGGTTTGTCATTTTGAGAATGTGTGTCAAAGTTTTCTTCCTTTTTGAATTTCAGTGATAAACTATGTCTAACATTGCCTCATCCATTCACTTGTAAACAAGACAGTTGAGTACTCTGAATGATGCTGACATGAAGTTGACTATACAGACACCTGTCTGAGTCCAGGCTTTCAGATTTTCTGGGTTGTATTAGTCTCATCATTGATCAAATGACTGACAGTGGCAATGTAAGGAAGGAGGATGTACTTTGCTCACAGTTCAGGGGATATCAGCTCACTATGGCAGGGGAGACAGGACTTTATGGCTATATGTATAGTGGAAGGAGCCTGCGGCTTGTTCATATCATGGCTGGCCAGGAAGCAGAGAGCAGAGGGCCACAAACAAGGCCAACAATAACCTTAAAAAGCCTGCCCTCTGCCAGCAAGGTCCTAACTCCTAATGCTTCCACAAGTCCCAACACAGTGCCACTAACTGGGGACCAAGTGTTCAAATACATGGGCTTGTGATGAACATTTACATTCAGCCATAACATTCTGCTCCTGCCTCCAAAATTCAGTTGGACCAACTTCAAAAGTCCCCATAGTCTTATAGTTCTAACATTGTGTAAAAGTCTATCATGACATCTGAGACTCAAGAAAACCTGTAATTTACAGTGGCGCAGAATAAATCCCCATTTGCAGTGTTCAGGGGGATAGGAAGGACAGAACACACCATAGCAAGACTGAACTCAGAAGGACAAACATAACCCTGTAGCTCCATGTGCAGCATATAGGGCTTGTGGTGGCCTTCTCTAGACCACAGCAGCTTGTAGACCCTGCCTCCTGGTTCCTGCTGTTTACAGGATACAAGGGCTCCCCCTAGGATTAGGTCCACTCATTGACTCCAGCTTTCCTCAGTGGACATCCCAGGCCTGACATCCCTAACTTCCTGGATCTCCACTGTTACTTCATCTTTACCCCACAGGCTCACACAGCAAGCTCAGGAACTGTGCATGAGAGACTGACCCTGCTGCACATTTTCTGTGGAACCTTGATGCAAGCCTGGATGACCATTGCATTCTGCACCCCTGAAAACTGAGTTTCTGTTCTGACAGTGAGATCAGCACTAGCTTTGGTTTCAGTTCATTCTCTTGACTTGATTGTGTTGATTTTTCAAAAGAGATTTATTTATTTTAATTTTAGTTGTACAAGTATTTTGTCTGTGTAACACAAACATGCCTAATATTCACCAAAGTTGAAGGGACATAAGGTTCCCTGAAACTGAAGTCATAGACAGTTGTGATTTTGCTACATAGATGCCGAGATCAGAACTCTGGTCCTATGCAAGAAGAGCAAGCACACTTAACCACTAAGGCATCTTCCCTGTTTGATTATGCTCATTTTATTATCACTTTTTGAAGCACTTGTTTCTACACCTCTAATCCCTCCTTTCCTCTCTGCTTTTCAGGCTTCTCTCTGGGCTCCACAGTGCAGTCTCACACCAAGGGGCTCTGGATGTGGTGTGTCCCTCATCCCCAAAAGTCAGACCACACCCTAGTTCTGCTTGACACAGAGGGCCTGGGAGATGTGGAGAAGGTAAGGATTGAGGGCTCAGTGTGCAATTCAGCCACTCCTTTCTGAATAGTCTTCACTATTCTCTATGCTGCTTTAAAAAACCTTTATTTATGTATGTATGTATTTATTTATTTACTTATTTAGTGTGTGTGAGTGTGTGCCTGTGTGTGTGTTGCACGTGCCATGGCGCCTGTGCTTCAATGAACATGTGCAGTCAGAGGACAACATGTGTGGTCAGTTCTCTTTTCCATCACATGGCTTCTAGGGATTGAACTCAGGCTCTAAGGCTGGGCAGCAAGACTGTTTTTACCCACCAAGCCTTCTCACTGGAACTGTCATTTTTAAATAAGAGTTTGAACTTTATCATAGCATCCTTTTCATATGTATTATATAACACATGCCATGTTTAGTCAAGCAAGAGGAAGGAACTAGTCACAAGACCGGGTCACAGAACAGCAGGGTGGTGGTCCGCACTGTTGAAACACTAACAACAGACTAAGAAGCACCAGTGAGAATCATCACAACTGAATCCACGAACCAAAAGAACGTTCACCTTGCAAGTCCTGTGGACAGCACTTGTAGGTTTAGTACTGTCTTCTGTTTTGTTTTGTACCTTGCATAGGTCATAAAAAGTTTCATTTTTTTTTTAAGGCTAAAATCCCCTCTAATGAAGTGAATGCATTTTACCACTGCTGAAAAGTGACATAAGAACAGAACATACTCCTGACCCATGTGTGTTCTGCCTCCCAGGGTGACAACCAGAATGACTGCTGGATCTTTGCCCTGGCTGTACTTCTGAGCAGCACCTTCGTGTACAACAGCATGGGAGCCATCAACCAGCAGGCCATGGACCAGCTGCAGTATCCTTTCTGAGGTTCAGAACACCAGAGTGAGCGGGGTGACCTTCCCTCATGATCCAGCTCCATGACTCTGGCTCTTGGTTAATGAAGCATAAAACAAGACAAGAAAATAACCCACATCTATGTAGCTACAGTATTCACCCTGAGGTTAAGAACAAGGCAAATGAAGGTTTGAGGCTAGGGCTCAATAAGTAGAACTCACACAGGATGTGGGCCCTGGGACTTTGGTTGGTGCTATGGTTGTTTCATGACTTTCCTTAATTAGCTGTTCAGCTATGTGACAGAGCTGACAGACAGAATCAGAACAAGATCCTCACCTGACCAGGATGAGGTGGAGAACTCAGATGAATTTGTGAGCTTCTTCCCGGACTTCGTGTGGACTCTGAGGGACTTCTCTCTCGAGCTGAAAGTAAATGGGGAACCCATCTCTGCAGACGAATACCTAGAGAATTCTCTGAAGCTTATACATAGTAAGAGACCTACAATTTGTCTTTCACTTTCTCCTCTACCCTCAATTTGTCTTCTCTGCCTCAAATTTGTTTTTATGCCAGAATACAGAATAAGGTGCACTGTGAGTATATATTTGAAAAAGAAAATGTGTATTAAGGTATTACCAATATCCTAGCTCAACTGTTGGAATAGTGTAGCCTCCACGTAACGGACGTGCTGCCAGGCATCTTTAGAAATCAAATGATGTCGTATTCTGGGATTACATATTGTCTATGCACAGAGTCCAGCTATATATTCTAAGTGGGTTGAATCTAGCAGAGCATTCAGCCTTTCCCTAGATTGAAAATCCTTAAAGCAGATACCACCACCCCCTTTCTGTTTTCCTTGTGTTGTGTTTTCAGGATCTCATTATGTAACCCTGACTGGCCTGAACTTATAATCCTCCTGCCTCAGCTTCCAGGATGCCAGGATTATAAACTCACATGAACAAATTTACACACACACACACACACACACACACACACACACACACACACACACACATATGTATATATATTCACCTTTCAAATTCTATCTAAAAATCCTGCTTTTCACTCCTTGTAGATACTGATAAAAAAGAAAAAGTACAAAAGCTTAATCTTCCTCGGCTCTGTATCCAGAAGTTCTTCCCAAAGAAGAAATGCTTTGTCTTTGAGCGGCCAGCACATGGGAAGAAGCTTAGCCAGCTGCAATCGCTGCAGGATGAAGACCTGGACTCAGACTTCTTGGAACAAGTGGCAGAGTTCTGTTCCTACGTGTTCAGCTGTTCCAAGGTTAAAGCGCTTTCAGGAGGCATCAAGGTCAATGGACCACGTGAGTCCCTTCCAGTCCGTCTGCTCACTGTTTAGGCCACAGCATCATGAGATAGTAATGACCTGCTTCAGCTCTGAAGAAATGTAGACCTGTCACCACTGTAGGGCTAAGCTGTGGATGTCACCAGCATTTATAATAGACTTTGTCTATCACGTTTTCTTGTTGGGAAAAGAGAAATGGTGGTAAAAGAAACTCCTTTTTAAATTACCCAGCAAATTGGACCTGCATTCACCAAGGATAGCCACTAAGCAAGTATGGCTCTTAAAATTTAAATGAAAGTACAGGCTGGAGAGATGGCTCAGAGGTTAAGAGCACTGACTGTTCTTCCAGAGGTCCTGAGTTCAATTCCCAGGAACTACATGGTGGCTCACAACCACCTAATGAGATCTGGTGCCCTCTTCTGGTGTGTAGGCATACATGCAAGTAGAATACTGTACATGTAATAAATAAAATCTTTTTTTAAAAATGTACATGAAAGTACAATAAAATCTACATGGAGCTATTTGCTGTCATATTAGCACATAGAGAAAGTTCTCTTGGGCAATGCTATTTTTTTCTATTCAACCTGATGGAGAATTTTTGACTGGGAGAGCACATTCTGTTCCTGAATTGGAATCAAAGGTTTGCAGGGCTGGTGACACAGACAAACATGAAAGAGGTATGGAGCGTGTTGTCATGGTACTGGCATTCCATAGACATAGGCGCATGTAATCTCCATACAGCATTCTTAGCCTTTGGGGTCTCCTACACTTCATGAGAGGAACTTTGCACAGAGGAAGGTCTAATCCCATCAGTCTGAGGTAGACACTGAGATGCTCCTGTCTGTTATTCTTCTAAATGATGCTAAGGACACTAGTGCCTTAAGACATCCATGACTGACATATCCAGAATTACACCGAATAGTATTGTCATCATCCATCTATAGCAAATATTGTCCCCTTTTTCCTGGTTGTAGGACTAAAGAGTTTGGTGATAACCTATGTGAACACCATCAGCAGTGGGGGTCTGCCCTGCGTGGAGAATGCTGTCCTGGCTTTGTCCCAGACAGAGAATGCAGCTGCAGTGCAAAAGGCCATTGCCCACTATGACCAGCAGATGAGCCAGATGTTGGAGCTGCCCACAGAGACCCTCCAGGAGCTGCTGGATCTGCACGGGGCCAGTGAGAAAGAAGCCACCAAGATATTCATGGAAAATTCCTTCAAAGATATTGATCAAGTGTTCCAAATGGAATTAAGGGTAATATTTCTCTCAAGTTTACATGGATATAGATTTTGGAAGGCAAAGTGCTATGGGGAAATGAAATGGGTGTTTGGGGGAGCAATTGTTAATAGATTTTGTAGCAGTAACAGCTACCTATTAATAATTACAATAAATAATAAAAATGTATTCTCATAGACTCAAGGCTTTAAAACATTTTTCTTTTCATAAATAAACTTGTAATATTCCCCTTCACTGAATTAAGTAGGAGAATAAATTAGTGGCATGCCCACTGTCCATATACTGATCCAATATTCAAGCCAATAGATTAGAAAACTACAGCCTTAGCTATCAGAGGCAAATTAATTTGAGCCATGGGTATTCCATGTGTCATCTCTGGCCCAGTCTATAAAAGCAGATTATTCTGCTCTGAACTTCACTTCCAAGGAGCAAGGATGACATGAGGGAAAATGTGGCATCAGAAGAACAGATGTAGTTATAGTGAATGATTATAAGTTTTCCTTTTTTTATTTTGCTTTTGTGTTTGTTTGGTTTTGAGAAATGTTCCCAGAAATTCTAAACTCAGGCTTATTTTGCTTCTTAACATTTTTCTTTTAATTTTCACATTAAAGACCAAGCTAGAAACAAAGCGAGAGGAATTCCTTAAGAAGAATGAACAGGCATCCTCAGATCGCTGTGCAGCTCTGCTTCAGGGTATTTTCAGTCCACTAGAAAAGGACGTGAAGCAGGGGATTTATTCTAAACCAGGGGGATACTGCCTTTATATCCAGAAGATAGAAGAGCTGAAGAAAAAGTACTCTGAGGAACCCAGGAAGGGGGTTCAGGTAACCAAGGTTATGTGTGTATTCTGGGAAGCTTGTGACCTCCTTTAGACAGCAGAGTGACCACAAGCATCATTGCGAGAGTGTCATAGGTTTACACACCATGCATACACTCCTTAAACATCACATACATGAAGGTTATCATATAAAGTATCATACCATACTGGATACATCCTGCTTACTCATCAGAGACAGTGCATTCACTTAACAAGTGAGTTCACACTGAACAATCACATTAACCACCAGTATGACTGTCGCCCTGTGTTTCAGCTTGACTCTTTGTGTTGCAAAGGATCCAACGATGGCCCCTTAAATGAAACTTATAATTCATCAGTCTTGGGCTTCAAACTGGCTTTCAAAGACAACTGGCTGCAATAAGATTGTCCTGTGTCCGTCTGTCCATCACTCTTCTCTGGCCCCATTCTTTTCTACCTTTTTCATTTCCTCTGCTCCTTTTGTTCTCTACCCGGGCTTATGTCATTATCAAACTCTCCCCATATATCGCCACAGCACTATTAACTCCAATGTTAGAGCCCTGGTCTAAAAGGACAGCTGTTGTTTTCTAACATAGGCCTCCAATTAAAGATATTGTTGAGTAGGTCCAGCCTAGACTGTGTGCCTGTTTCTGTGACTGGGACTCTAAGCACCAAGAGGTGTCACTAGAGGAAAGGGGGTAAGAGAGACAATCCCGTGGCCTTCGGTCATTCTTGCTGTTAACTTCATGTTTTCTGGACTCAAAGGCTGAAGAAGCTCTGAAGCAATTTTTGCAGTCCAAGGAGGAGGTGACTAATGCAATTCTACACACAGACCAGGTTTTGACACAAAAGGAAAAGGCGATGGAAGGTGAGGCACAAATTAAGGGGGCATGTGCCCACAAAAGCTGTGGAAAGTTTAAATTACTTGTAAACCTGGGACCCTAAAGCAGAGCTAAAAAAAAAAAAAAAAAAAAAAAAAACAAAGCTGTGTCTCACTGGCAGGAATCAGACATGGTAGCACGATGAAGCCTGTGAGGAAGAGGAGAGGAACACGTGATGCACTTACACCTTCCTCCTTGCTTTCCTTCCCAGAGCAACGTGTGAAAGCTGAAGCTGCCCAGGCTACAGCAAAGTTCCTAGAGGAAAGGCAACGGCAGAGTGAACAGTTGATGAAGGAGAAAGAGAAGCTTCACCAGGAGCACATGAAACAGGTGGCTGAGAAGATGGAGAAGGCACAGGCCCAGATGAGGGAGGAGCAACGGAGGGCCATGGAGCACCAACTTCAGGTATTTTAATTGCATCGCCATCTACGTTTTCTTCACTTAAAAAAATATTTTAAAGTGAGCGTGTGTGTGTGTGTGTGTGTGTGTGTGTGTGTGTGTGTGTGTGTGTGCGCGCGCGCAAGTGCGTGCACGTATTTGTTCATGTGCATGTGGTATCTGTAGTGGCTGGAAGAGGGAGTCAGATACCCTGGAGCTGGAGTTTTAAATGGTTGTGAGCCACCTGACTTGGATGTCCAGAATGGAATTCCAGTCTGTAACACAGTTTACCACTGTAAAAATATCGCAGCTCTTTCCCATAGTGGAATCCCCAGTGGTTGTTTTTCTGTCTTATTTAGTATGAGTTTACTCCTGAGAGATTTTTTTATGAGGAGAGGAGCTCTACAACTGTGTGATAGCCGCCTGTCTGTCCCTCCTTTGTCCTATACTCTGCTCCCAGATTGTGTTCAGTTGGGAGTTCGATGAGGAAATTCATTGTCTTCAGTCTGGGACTCTGGTTTTCTCACCCATCATCTGTCGCCCTGCTGCCAAGTGGTGGAAGTTTACACTAAGTGTCTTCTCCCACCACTGCTCTTCCTCCCTCTTTTTCTGTGTGAGTTCTTGTGTATATCTGTGGTTGTGCACATGGGTGCACGTGGATGTGAAGGCCACAGATCTACTTCAGATCTTCCTCCATCACTCTCCACCACATTTCTTGAGACAGAGTCTTTTCACTGAACCTAGAGTTCACTGATGGGGCTAGCCTGGCTGGCCGATGAGTTTCAAGGATGAGCCTATATCTGCCTCTCCAGCCTGGTATTACAGCACAGTGCTGTGTCTAGGTCTCCAAGGGTGCTTGGGATTCCAGCTCAGGTCCTCACGCTTATGCAGCAGGCAGGTTACTGGCTCATCCCCACCCCAACCCCAACCCTAGACTAAATATCCTAGACTAAGATTCAGACAGAGCCTTAGGTCAAATTTTCAGAGTTCATTCTTGTGGTGCCTGTTTATATAAGATATGAGTAAGGGGATGTATTAAGGATGCTAAATTTTGAAGTCAAACACATGATTAAGATTATCTACAGAGGTTATAGACAATCCTAGGCACAAAACAGCTTTGGCCACCAAACTGGGCATCAAGCTAGGATGAACACAGGACTGCCATCCACTCACCCATGACTGATATAAGAACACCACCAACAAGGTGTCTCTTTGCCCATTGCTAGAATTGTTTCTTAGCTAAAGGAACCCCCCAAGAGACATGATCACAGCTGCCCCCCAAAAAAAACATAATTTGGGGAGAAGGATAAAAAATTCAAAAAGAAAAAAACATTTCTTAACATATTAAATTTTACACATGAATAAAAACAGGTTAAGATATATAAAAATTAAGGGCAAAGAAAATTTTAAGAAATTAAATAATAAAAGTAAATTATTACAAAAACTGCACAGAACATAGGAATCTACTCAGTGCAACAACTCTGTCTCCACTTGTCACTTTTTAGGAACAGGCTCGACTGCTAAGGGAAAGATTCCAGGAGGAGATCAGAAGAGCTGAAGAAGAAAGGATGAAGCTCCAGCAAAGGAAATCAAAACGCAAATGGTATAAGCTATAGTTCTAAGAACAGCGCCATCCTGCCACTCAAACCAGAGGTGAACAGGGTATAGAATCCGGAACAAGTGTCACTTCAATTGATAATAATTGGGTCCTGCATCAGAAAACTAAAAATCTGCAAAGATGTGCAGTGTGATCATTGAAATTGTGTTTATCTTCCTATAAGATTGTGTGCCAAGGATATCATTGACATCTCTACCACAAGAGAGGTATCAACAACACTGCTCAGAACAAAGTCCCTTTTCCAGATGATCTCCAGGAGACAAATGGACACTGAGCACATTCTTAAATGGTGGCACGTAATTAGAAACCAGGTTGTCCAGGGATGTGATGTATCTAAAGGACAGGGAAGCCAGCCTTACTCCTTACTGGAGACAATGTAAAGTATCTATTATATCAAAACTGCTCAACCTTTCAGGAATGGTGTGATTTGTGGACATTGGTAATGAACAACCCTATCAACACACTCCATTATGAATCAAGGCACCTGCATGGAGATCTAGAGTCCATATGTATAATACCCACAGGAAGAAGGAAGAAGCCATTAGCATGACAAGGAGCTGGATCACAGGTCCATGGGCTAAAGAAGGAAATGTTCCAGTTTATGTAGATGGAAACTGTAACAGGACATTTCCAAACTCTAAGAGTTGACACTGATTATATAGAAACATGATGACAACTAAGCATAATGTATAGCTTAAGTGCTTATGTATAAGGTATACATAAGTATATGTTATGTATACTTCATGTATAACAATATATAACTTTAAAATGGGCTTTAAATGATGATGGGCAATCTATAGATATCTGTCATTGATATATTGTGCACCCCAATAAACTTATCTGGGGGTCAGAGAATAGAACAGCCATAATATTCAACATTGAAGTTAGGCAGTGGTAGCACACACACCTTTAGTCCTATTGCTTGGGAGGCAGAGATCCATCCAGATCTCTGTGAGTTCAAGGCCACACTGAAAACTGCCAGGCATGGTGACTCACACCTTTAATCCCAGGAAGCGATGGCAGAAAGCAGAAAAGTATATAAAGTGTGAAAACCAGGAACTAGGCCTGGTTAAGCTTTTAGGCTTTTAGCAGTTCAGCTGAGATTCATTCTGGATGAGGACTCAGAGACTTCCAGTCTGAGGAAACAGGATCAGCTGAGAAATTGGTGAGGCGAGGTGGCTGTGGCTTGTTCTGCTTCTCTGATCTTCCAGCATTCACCCCAATACTCAGCTCCAGGTTTGTTTTATTAATAAGACCCTTTAGGATTCATGCTACCGATATCAAAGGAATTTTAATGATTTATCTTTAACTATAAACTTATGCTACTCTTTTTTTCCTATTACTAGCAGTTGTACTTGAAATCCTGTTGATTTTCTGCAAGCACAATAAAGATTGTTTTCCATATTTTGACCAGCTCTTAGTATGATGGAGTATAGATAAACTATATTCCAACTGCCGAAAGTGCAAGGTAGGTGGTGAACATCTTTTAAAGGGACTTGGAACTTTTTCTGAGGAGGTATGGCTCAGTGGGTGAAGTACTCGAAGTGCACACATGGCATAATTCAGATCCCAGCACCCACACAACAAACCAGAAATGCTGGGCACACCTGTAAGCCTAGCACTGAGGTCTCGGCAAGGGCAGGCAGGAGGATCCCTGGGGCTTACTAGCTGGCCAGTCTAGCCAACAGATGGACTCTGAATTCTCTGAGAGACCTTGTCTCAAAAATAAGGTGAGAAGTAATTAAGAACAGAGTTATGTATGCTGTTTGTTGAAAGTGAATGCGACCAGAAATAATCACATTAAGCAAGCTAAATCAGTCTCACAAAAACGAATGTATGTTTTCTTTAGTACATAGCTCCTAGACTGTATATAGATATATAAAATTGCATGTGCATATATGATATGAAAGTCAAAGTGAAATTGTCTAGGGAAGCAAAGAGGACGAGTGGAATGAGGAAGCATGAAGAGTAAAGGGTACAGGGTTATGCTAAACATACAAGATATTTTTATATGAAAATATCCTCCTATACCATCTTATACCTGTCAAAATGGCTAAGATCAAATGCTGTGGGATGTTCTGTATGTCCTGTAGGAGCCCGTTCTCGGGTTCCTTTTGGCTTTACCCAGCAGGTCCACATAGAGGATGATTAGGACCACGGGCCTGAGTGCAGGTGTCTGAGATGGTCTGCACTTGGCTGTGCTGGAGGATGGTCTGTATGTCAAGTTGCTCTGATTGGTAAATAAATAAAACCTGATTGGCCGTGGCTAGGCAGGAAGTATAGGTGGGACTAACAGAGAGGAGAAAAGAAAGAACAGGAAGGCGGAAGGAGTCACTGCCAGGCGCTACCCTGACAAGCAGCATGAAAAGACGCCGGTAAGCCACGAGCCGCATGGCAAGGTATAGATTTATGAAAATGGATTAATTTAAGATATAAGAACAGTTAGCAAGAAGCCTGCCACGGCCATACAGTTTGTAAGCAATATAAGTCTCTGTGTTTACTTGGTTGGGTCTGAGCGGCTGTGGGACTGGCGGGTGACAAAGATTTGTCCTGACTGTGGGCAATGCAAGAAAACTCTAGCTACAATCAAAAACATTGATGACAGCCTATATTGGAGAGGATGTGGAGTAAGAGGAACACTCCTCCATTGTTGGTGGGAGTGCAAACTTGTACACCCACTTTGGAGATCCCTAATTGCTTCACGGCCTTTTGGCTAAGATTAAGTGTGGAAATCCATATGGTGGTTTTTCAGAAAATTGGGAATCAATCTACCTCAAGACCCAGATATATCAATCCTGGGTATATACCCAAAGGATGCTCAGTCATACCACAAGGACACTTGTTCAACTATGTGCACAGCAGCATTATTTGTAATAATTTGGTGTAATAGCCAGAACCTGGAAACAACCTCGATGTCCCTCAACAGAAGAGTGGATAAAGAAAATGTGGTACATTTACACAGTGGAGTATTTATTACTCAGATGTTAAAAAACAATGATGTCAGTAAATTGAAGACAAATGGATGGAACTAGAAAAAGTCATCCTGAGTGAGGTAACCCAGACGGAGAAAGACAAATATGGTATATACTCACTCATAAATGGATACTAGATGTAAAGCAAAGGATAACCAGGCTGTTATCTCCAGCCCTAGAGAAACTAAGTAACAAGGATGACCCTAAGAGGGAGGCATGGATTTCCCTGGGAAGGGGAAATAGATGAGATCTCCTGGGTAAACTGGGGGAGGGGAGAGGATGGAGGTGAACATGAGGGATTGAGTTGGTTGAGTTGGGGGCAGGACAGAGGGGGAAAGTAATATCTTGATAGAGGGGGCCATTTTAGGGTTACGGAGAAACCTGGTCGGAGGGAAATTCCCAGGAATCCACAAGGATGACCCCAGCTAAGACTCCTAGCAATAGTGGAGAGGGTGCCTGAACTGGCCTTCTCCTGTAATCAGATTGGTGAATACTCTAACTGTCATCATAGAATCTTCATCCAGTAACTGATGGAAGCAGATGTAGAGATCCACAGCCAAGCACTGGGCCAAGCTCCGGAAGTCCAACTGAAGAGAGGGAGGAGGGATTGCATGAGGGGGGAGTGGTGGGGGGTGGGGGAGGGAGTGGGAAATGGGAGGGGGTGTCAAGATCATAATGGGTTCTTCGAAATAACTACATAAAAATCCTGACATGGCGCGCCGGGCATGGTGGCGAACGCCTTTAATTCCAGCACTCGGGAGGCAGAGGCAGGCGGATCTCTGTGAGTTCGAGGCCAGCCTGGTCTACCAAGTGAGTTCCAGGAAAGGCACAAAGCTACACAAAGAAACCCTGTCTCGAAAAAACAAAACAAACAAACAAACAAACAAAAAAATGTCTTGGCTGGAGAGATGGCTCAGAGGTTAAGAGCACTGACCGCTCCTTCAGAGGTCCTGAGTTCAATTCCCAGCAACCACATGGTGGCTCACAACCATCTGTAATGAGATCTGGTGCCCTCTTCTGGCCTGCAGACATATATGCAGGCAGAACACTGTATACATAATAAATAAATAAATCTTTAAAAAAAAAAAATCCTGACATGGCACCCATGAACAGCAAAACAATCCCAGAGCAATGCAAGTCTCCTCTTTTGTTTCATTTAGTTTGGGGTTTGAGGTGGTTGCTGTTGTTTTGTTTTTTATTTTGAGCTAGGATCTTGATAGATAGCTCACGCTATCCTCAGATTTGCACCAATCCTCTAGCCTCTGCCTCCCAGTTGATGACATTGTAGGTATGCACCACCATATCTGGCCAGATGTCAACTTCTTTAAGACAATAAATGGCAGCTACAATAATTCCGCACCAGCATCATACTTGATGAGAAACTAAACGTTCGCCCCTCTGACCTTGGAAAATCCATACATTCTGTTCTCACCACCTTTTTCAGCGCAACACTGGATCTGTTACTACAGTGTGGTGATTTGAATGAAAACGGCCCCTATAGGCTCATAGGGAGTGGCATTATTGGAAAGGATTAGGACCTGTGACTTCCTTAGAGTAGGTGTGGTCTTGTTGAAGGAAGTGTGTCGGTAGACTTAAGGTTTCAGAAACTCAAGTCAGGCCCAGTGGCTCTCTCTCTCTTCCTGCTGCTTGCCAATCCAGATGTAGAACTCTGGGCTCCTTCTTTCCCCACCACATCTGTCTATGTACTGCTATGTTTCCCAAATGGCAATGGACTGAACCTCAGAACTGTAATTCAGCCCCAATTAAATGTTTTCCTTTATAAGAGTTTCTGTGGTGCTGGAGAGATGGCTCAGAGATTAAGAGTACTGGCTGCTCTTCCAGAGGTCCTGAGTTCAATTCCCAGCAACCACGTGGTGACTCTGTGATGAGATCTAGTACCCTCTTCGGTAATATATAATCTTAGATAGAATATATTAAGTATTAGATTCAGGTTCTTTAGGATAGGACACCTTTTGGAATGATCTTTGTAACATGCCATTTACCTATGCTCTATACTTCTCTGGATTTTAGAATGTGTTTCTTGCTTGATATTGTTCGAATTGGCTGTAGTTCCACCTTATCTAGGTCATTATCCCTCATTATTCCTGGACAATATCTGATAACCATTCCTTTGTATATAGTCTTATATTAGGTTAGAATCTTCTTATTTAGACAAAAAGGGGGAGATGTAGTAGGTAGCCATTCCAGCTTTGATCTGGAAGTTCCAACCCCCAATGAGGCTTCCGTAACTGTCACGCCTACAAGGCAGGGCCATGAGAAGTGCCGGGAGACCCGAGATCTGGATGGGCCAGCACACTCTCTCTGTTCCTGGACCCTAGATGGTGGAGGTTGACCGAGCAGAACTCCAGAGAACACCACTGGACTTCGATACACCTTCCCCAGACCCCACAACCTACCTTTCCCTTTTTTGTAAGTTACCCACTAAATAAATCTTCCTTTTAACTACGTGGAGTGGCCATCATAATTTCACCAACACTCTTCTGGCATGTAGGAAGAACATTGTATTCATAATAAAAATCTTAAAAAAAAAAAGTTTCTGTGGTCATGGTATTTCTTCACAGCAATAAATCCCTAACTAAGACAAACAGTATCACAAGAAAAGACCCTAAAGGCATGTGGATCAGACAGGATAAAAATAAAGCTGTCTTTGTTTGCAGATTGTATAACTGAAAATATCCTAGAATCTACAAAACTATGCTTACTACTGAAGAGTAAGTTTTATAAGGCCAAAAGATACAAGGTCAATGTGTTATTTACTGTTCTTGTTGCTGTGACAAAATACTTAACAAAAGCAATTTAAGAAAAGAAAGGTTTAGGTGGGAATGGTGGTAGAGCCTTTAATCCCAGCACTTGTAAGGCAAACGCACCCAGACCTCTGTATCAAGGCCAGCTTGGTCTACACAGCAAGTTCCAGGCCAACCAAGACTACATAGTAACACTGTCTCAGAAAAAAAGGGGGACTAAGGAGGAAAAGAGGAGTAGGCATTCTGTATTTGGCTCTCAGTTATGGGTTCAGTCTACAATGATTGACAGGGAAAGCATGAAGTATGGCTGGTTACATTGCACTGCATCTGCAGTCAAGAAGCACAGAGAGAAAGATGCTGGTGATCAGTTAGCTCTCTCCTTCTGCAGTTTGGTACCCCAGCCTATAGATGGAGCCACCCACACTTAGGGAGGGTCTAACCACATCAACCAACTTAATCCAAAAAGTCCCATGTCCAGATGTTGTCTCTCCATGATTCTAGATCCTGTCAAGTTGACAATATTGGCAGTCACAGGACCGGGGAGGTGGTTATGTTAGTAAAGCGCCTGCCGTGCAAGGATGAGGACCCGAGTTTGGGTACCCAATACCCCCATACAAACTGGGCAAGGCAGCAGACATCAGTAGCCCAACACTGGAGAAGGTGGAGCAGAGACAGGCAGCTATGTGGGGCTTGATGGCCAGCCAGTCCAGCCAGATACATGAACCCAGATTCAGTGAGAAAATTCTGTCTTAAAAAATGTGGCTAGCGCCGGGCGTGGTGGCGCACGCCTTTAATCCCAGCACTCGGGAGGCAGAGGCAGGCGGATCTTTGTGAGTTCGAGGCCAGCCTGGGCTACCAAGTGAGCTCCAGGAAAGGCGCAAAGCTACACAGAGAAACCCTGTCTCGAAAAAACCAAAAAAAAAAAAAAAAAAAAAAAAAAAAAAAAAAAAAAAAAAAATGTGGCTAGCAATCAAGAAACAGACGCCTAGTGACCCCTACATCCACATATGCATATGCTCACTAGAAACACACACACACACACACACACACACACACACACACACACACACACACCTAACCAGCTCAATCAACAAACAAAAAACAAACTTCAACCATTTCTATAGACAAGCAATGAACAACCAGAAAGCAAAATTTACAAAACAGTAACTAGAGAAAAAGTGAAATTTCGCTGCAAATCTACCAAAACAAGGGGTTTCTATGTTAAAAAGCCACTCTAAGAATAGAGTTCGGCGGAATAACTCATGATCCTCGACTCTCAGAATGTACTAAAACAATTCTCACTGAGCCCCCAATCTCTGTGAAGGTGGTTCAGACCTGCTTTCTATACTTCAGCCTTGTTAGGCATGGTGGTCCAACAATAACAAAGGTGTGTACCCCACATTGGCTAGGTCCCAGTGGACACTAAAATACATCTAGCAATGGGTATCAGCCTTTCATCCTAATAAAATGGAAAGAAATATGGTCCAAAATTCACAATGTCAAACACTTGTCTACCATTCAAATCCATATTCCAAGGCTCCTCCCACAGTACAGGAAAGCAGAAGAGAGGGGAAAGCTTAAAAGAAGCTTAAAAGACACTCTCCCACATTTTATAACAGAGATCTTCCCAGCTTAGATCAGAAACGTGTCTCTGGGAAGTTAGGTTAGATCACATGGACCACCACAACCGCCTAGCTAGACTGGTTATTTATTGAGAACTCTTGGGTGAACCCCTACCATACTGCTGTGTGAAGTCACTTTCCCTTTTTAAAAAACAGTTCAAAGATGACAGATTAGTTTAAATGGCAAATGTTAACAGCTAAGCTGCATTGGATCCAGAGAAAATTTACATGCACGGAGATAGAAAGATTCAGTTGCCCTTAGCAACCTTTCTGTGGGTACATGCACAGTTTCTGCGAAGGCTTTGGAAACATTTAAACTATGGCCAATATCACTGTTGCTGCGCAGATGGGGAGTGATGACTTAACAACATGCAAGCTGAGCATTGTGCTGCATGCCTGTATACCCTGGTGCTCAGGAGGCTGAAGCAGGAGGGTTCCTGAGGGCTTGGGAGCAAGCTGGGCTAAACAATGAAGCCAGTCTGGGTTGTGGGGTGAGACCCTGTATAAAACAAAACAAAACAACAAAAAACATCATCAACTTGTAGATTCCGTGTGGTCTCCAAGAGGGCTGCAAAAATCACATTCAACCTGGCAAGGAAACCGCAAATCAAAGAAGAAAGGCAGCATTTCATCACGTGACCAGTCTAATCACACCAGAATCCCGGAACACAGTGTTCATGCCACACACCGTGCGTTTCGAAATAACAAGCCAGCAGCTTATTGTAATGGTTGCATGAGAAAAATAGAGAGAGAAAAGGAAAGCAACCGAACAGCCATTTAACCTTAAAAACCTTCAGAACAAACCCTGAGGTTTCCCAGTCCATCCACAGCAATGTCAACAGAACACCAACTGCAGATAAAAAGCCATTTCGCGATCGTTGTGAGTTTTAGACTCAAAGTGAAAAGCCCCAAGAACCCAAAATAAATGGGCAGACTCACTGACATGGTCCAAAAGTCTTGGCTCAGCACAAGCTGGACTGTAGGATTGCTGGCAGAGAGACAAAGAGACAAAGATCACTTGCAGAATTCCTCGGGGACCTGTGAAACTTTCTGTCTGCCAGGAAGAAAGAGCCACGCGCCTATTGAGATATATGGTGCATACCAAAGCCGCAGGGCCCTCAAGCCCCCTCCCGCTCTACCCTAAACTTCCAGCTTGTTCCGACTCACAGGATTCCTGCAGCTACCTCTTTGTCTTTATAACCCACGAGGTTTTTCCCTGTTCCTGCTCTTCCTCTGCTTCCGAGAGATATAGCCTTTGCCAGTCTGCCGCCTCCTCTCTGCCCAGAGAGGTAGCCATGACTGCTCTGGACTTTCCCAAAAGTCTCTGGCTAGTGTCTCTCTCTCTCTCTCTCTCTCTCTCTCTCTCTCTCTCTCTCT